ACAATATATAGAGACAGAGAGACACACAGACCAATAGAGACAGACAGATAGGCAGACCAATATATAGAGACAGACAGACAGACAGATCAATAGAGACAGACAGACAGACAGATAGATATACAATATATAGAGACAGAGAGACACACAGACCAATAGAGACAGACAGATAGGCAGACCAATATATAGAGACAGGCAGACAGACAGACAGACAGACAGACAGACCAATAAAGACAGACAGACAGACAGACTGATAGATAGATATACAATATATATAGACAGACAGACAGATATACAATATATAGAGACAGGCAGACAGACAGACAGACAGACCAAAAGAGACAGACAGACAGACAGACTGATAGATAGATATACAATATATATAGACAGACAGACAGATATACAATATATAGAGACAGACAGACAGATCAATAGAGACAGACAGACAGACAGACAGACTGATAGATATACAATATATAGAGACAGACAGACACACAGACCAATAGAGACAGACAGATAGGCAGACCAATATATAGAGACAGGCAGACAGACAGACAGACTGATAGATATACAATATATAGAGACAGACAGACAGACAGACCAATAGAGACAGACAGATAGGCAGACCAATATATTGAGACAGACAGACAGATAGATAGACAGGCAGGCAGACAGATAGACAGGCAGACATACCAATAGATAGAGACAGACAGACAGACAGACAGACAGACAGACAGACAGACAGATAGATAGATAGATAGATAGATAGATAGATAGATAGATAGATAGATAGATAGATAGATAGATAGATAGATAGATAGATAGATAGATAGATAGATAGATAGATAGATAGATAGATAGATATACAATATATAGAGACAGGCAGAGAGACAGACAGACCAATAGAGACAGACAGACAGACAGACTGATAGATATATAATATATAGAGACAGGCAGACAGATAGACCAAAAGAGACAGACAGACAGACTGATAGATATATAATATATAGAGACAGACAAACAGACAGATAGACAGATATATATATATATATATACAGTATCTATATATATATATATATATATATATATATATACACACACAATATATAGAGATAGACAGACAAACAGACAGACAGACAGACAGATAGACAGACACAGAACAATAGATAGAGACAGAAAGACAGACAGACTTGGGGTTTGTCTGCCAGGACTGTCACCTGTCTCTTTACTGGAGTGGGGGCGGAGCTAAAGTGTGTTTGTGTCTGCATGTGTATGAGTCAGAGTCAATATTGCTTACAAAGACGAAACTGTCATCTCCGCCTGATACACAAACAGCCCAACCGCAGTCACGCAACTCACTCATGTGTGACAACAATTCATGGACGAGTCCCAAATGAACGATGAGTCTGTGTTAACGTGATGATGTGAGGAAGGTGTGGCCAGGATGTACAGAGGAGATTTAATCACTAAAAGGAAAAACTCGTCCTCTCTATTGAGTGAAGTAGGCCCTATGTCAGTCTGGTGAACTATGCGAGCGTGTTCCTGCATGATTCCCGCCGATAGCAGATCATTACATCAACAGCTTCAGGCAATGTGGCATATTTCAGCCGAATGTTTTTCTCCAGCTGATTCATGTGAATGGCATATGGGTTATACATATGCAATAACAGTGTGAAAGCAGCACTTGTATTTAACCGAGACTTGCAAACATATTTGTATTGCTAAGTCCAAATGTCATTGAAACTGCAGTCATGTTTGGCTAATTATCCACTAATTTCCTGCAGATTACTTCAAAAGCAAACAATTTTTATGGCTAATAAAATACATACCAGGGTTCAGTAAACCTGCCGACTGGGAGCCGGTGTGTGAGCGGTGGGTGTAAGCGAGACCTCATGAGGGCATGTAAACAGTCAGTAACGGTTAGCAATGATGCTAATTTTTATCAGTAACTGCAGGATTCAAACGTAAACACAAGGCCGCATGCCTGAGTCCTGGATCTGGGACGTTTGCTGACTCGCTGGGAACCAAATATATTAACTAGGCCTAGTGTTTATATATATTTGAAATTCTTTTGCACTTTCTATTCATCAAAGAATCCTGAAAAAAAAACTTTTTTGAACAATAACTTATTAACCTTTAAAAAATAGACCGACTGTAAATCTGTTAATCCATTGTATAATTTGTATAACCCACATTATTTCAACTTAGTTTTACAATAAACATGTTGAACAGTGTAATTCCTAGTGGAAACGTACATTACCCATGATGCCATACAGAAAATTACACCAATCAGAGAGTCGAAAAAAAGCAACTCTTTAGCTCCGCCCACTCCAATGAAGCACTGCTAAACGAGTCGGTCACAAAATACTTAAAGGAGTAGTTCACTTTAAAAAAAAACTTTTGCTGATAATTTACTCACCCCGATGTCATCCAAGATGTCCATGTCTTTCTTTCTTCAGTCGAAAAGAAATTAAGGTTTTTGATGAAAACATTTAAGGATTTTTCTCCATATAATGCACTTCAATGGGAACCAAATGGTTCAAGGTCCAAAAGACAGTTTCTGTACAAACTGCAAACTGTTCAAAGGGCTTTAAACGATTCCAGACAATGAATAAGGGTCTTATCAAGCGAAAGGATAAGACATTCATCAAAACGAAAAAATTTTGTTTTGATGAATAAGGGTCGAAAAAAGGGTCATTTTGTTATTTCACCGAACGAAAAAAAACCTTTAAGTTTGAATGAGTCATTTGGTTCATTCAATGAATGAAATGAACGAATTGACTCGGAAAAAGATTCGTTCATTTTGATGAATGAGTTCGAACAGGAGAGTCACACAGAACAAGGCGACCATTTGAGCTTATAAAACTTAAAACTTATTTTTTTTAAATGAGCGACCGTTTTGCTTGATAAGACACTTATTCATCGTCTGGTGTCGTTTAAAGCCCTTTGAAGCTGCACTGAAACTGTCTTTTGGACCTTGAACCGTTTGGTTCCCATTAAATTCAATTATATGGAGAAAAATCCTGAAATGTTTTCATCATTTCTTTTCGCCTGAAGAAAGAAAGACATGGACATCTTGGATGACATGGGGGTGAGTAAATTATCAGCAATAGTTTTAATAAAAGTGAACTCCTTTAAGTATTTGTAAATATATATGTGTATTTTACAATAAAGTATATTGGTTTTTTTTTACATAAATAATCAACATTTCTAAATGAGCTGTTTTATGTTTCTCAACATCTGTTCGCAGTGCTTCATGGGATTGTAGTTCTTTCCCGTCACTAAAACTGTTAAGTACATAGTCCTGTACATGTAGCCGATTTTCAAAAACTGTTTCGCTTCAAATCAATGTTTGTAGTGTTGTGATACACCTCGTGGCTTAGTTTGTAGCTTATGATGCTTTAACAAAGACTTTTTTTACAATCTCTATGGGAAAAAATGAAGGAAAAAACTCTGCGCCGCTGATAAAGATACAGACTGATATGTCTGTTTTCATCCAGTCAGTTTAATGACGGCAGCTGATCCTAGATCAGTACACTCGCTTTAAGCCATGCTAGAGACCCGAGTATATCACATCTGTTGACTTCAGCATTGTCTCTGAGGCAGCTTTTATTGTCTCCAACTGGCGTCAGGAGAGATACGCTAGTCCTTCATTAGCATTAGCAAACGTTTACCAGAGTCTGAACAGCAGGTTTAGGACCTTTAAGGTGGTTCAGTTTATAATTAGATGCATCTACTGAAAAGTTCTCTCTATTTAGATGTGTGAGAAGAATGGCTTGGACCAAAACCATCTCAGAAGTCTTTCACATCAAGTGACCAGACATTTCTGGTTAGCAGAGAATTCATATTGTGGTGGACCTGGACGCTTTACTTGAAGTCTGTCTAGTTTTTATGGTTTTTATGTTGTTTTAGGGATTTGGAACAGGATGGAGAGCATGTATTGAAATGTAGTTGCAACACACAAATAATTGCAAGACTTCCAGAATTAAACAAGGTAATATGTTTGGTCTAACAGAGGCACATGGCCTTCATGACATCTGTTGCTTTAACCTCATCAGCATTTTCTACCCTGTCATATCCAATATAACTCTTACAACATCCAATGAGTGAGATGGAAATTGAAATAATGTCTAAAATGACCCATAATAACATATTTTACTATTAAAATAAGTGCTAAAAACATTGCCATTCAAACGACCAACAACAAGAAGTCCAACCTACACAAAGTAATTTGCTTTATGCAAATAAATGATCGACTCTTCAATGGAATAATGTACAGGGAGTGGACATTTCCATTCCAGCAATGTATCACTTTTTTTTTTTTTTTTTTGATAAATTAAGAAGTGGTCTATTATTAGAAAGTTAGGCGTATACTGATATGCTTAATCACCAAAACTAACAACAGTTAGTTAATAAAAAAAAAAATTAAAAAAAAGATATTGTAATATTTGCAGTGGATAGTTTATGTAAGGATGGTGTAATTATATAATGTTAGGAACTATTAAACACTATTACTTAAAACTGCAAACCTCTATGCTTGGTCATCAATATGATCTCTGTTGTCAGATATGAAAGGTTTGGCATTAGTTTAGTTTTGATTATATGCTTTGGGAGGAATAAATAAACATTTGAGTTTCTGTGTTTGGTTAGGGATGTAGATTTTGCCCTTACAAACATTTACCATGGTAACCATAGTTTCTGACAGACATTTTGTTTGTTTAACTTAAAAAAAGTGAGTTCGCTGGTTGCCTTAAAATGTTGAGTTCATTTAAATAAAACAACAATGGAGATAGATTTAATAAATAGAGACTCAAAATATTGTCTGAACATTACATAAATATTTATCATCTAAGCTAATTCAACAAGATAAAAAGTAAAAATAATTTTTACAGTGTTGTTTTTACAATAAAACTGTAATAGCCTATATATATATATATATATATATATATATATATATATATACATGTGTAAAAGTTTAAATTCGAGAACCAAGTAATTTGTACCTCTGATCCAGTCCACAACCTGAATCGTTGTCCACTTGGTTATCGGCTCCATTCTTCAGAAAGTTTCGGCCAAGTTCTCAAACTGAAATAAAGTTTCCCACTTGAGCGTCCTTTCTCATCTCTAACAACTGAACACTGATGATAGGATCACAGGAACAGCACTGAAGCTCGACACACACACCGAAACTAAACACACGAGAGAGAGAGAGAGAGAGAGAGAGAGAGAGAGAGAGAGAGAGAGAGAGAGAAGAGAGAGAGAGAGAGAGAGAGAGAGAGAGAGAGAGAGAGAGAGAGAGAGAGAGAGAGAGAGAGAGAGAGAGAGAGAGAGAGAGAGAGAGAGAGAGAGAGAGAGAGAGAGAGAGAGAGAGAGAGAGAGAGAGCGGCGGATCATGTTACACTCAAAGGTCAAATTTATATCGCTGCTAAATCGTCTGAATGGGTCAGTGAGGGTCAAACACAGGGTCAGACACTCAGTTTTATGAGAGAAGCTTTATTCCTAAACATCTGACGTCAATTTAGAAGTCTGTAATGTCTCAAAACACAAAAACGCATAGGTTCGGTTATGTTTTGTTTTTGAAAAAAGTCTCTTCTGCTCACCAATTCTGGATTTATGTGATCGAAAATACAGTGAAAACAGTATTGTGAAATATTATTTCATTAATAAAGGTTTTCTATTTTAATATCAAAAATATCAAAGCTGAATTTTCAGCATTATTACTCCAGTCTTCAGTGTCACGTGATCCTTTATTTAATTCTTCCTTTTCTTCTTCTTATTATTATTATTATCAATGTTAAACAACAGTTTTGCTGCCTAATATTTTTTGTGGAAATCATCATACATTTTTTCAGCATTCTTTGATGAATAATAATGAGTTAAAAAGAGCAGTACTTATTTGGAATATTTTTTTTCAACAATCGTAATGTATTTTGTCACTTTTGTACAATTTCCTGCATCCGTCATGTATTGTAGGCTATTATATTAATGCATATTTAAGTTTATATATATATATATAATAAAAACAATCTTTATTTATAGCTTTTAAACAATGTTTATTTATTTAAAACTTACTATTCGATTAATATATATATATATATATATATTATCAGATGTCTCCACAGCACCTGACAATTCATGTTGTATTTCTTTACATCACAAAATAGGCTAAAGGTAAAACATTTTAATTATGTTCATATAACTTTTCTAATAAAGTTGTAAATGGGTATGACTGAAACTGGTTTGTGTGCTGGTCTGGGTATTTGAGTTTGAGATTTCCCAGTGAAAGTCCTTTATTTGCATCGCACCGCCCTCTACTGGTCAGAGTTTAAAAGTACAGCTGAAAAAATCATCTTTTTTAATCATCTCAATCTTCCTCGGGTTAGGTGTGAGCTCTCTTTCTTTCATAAAGTCCTCCTGTAGTCAATAATTGTATCTTTGATCAGCAAAATTGCATATTTAAACTTTTTTTTCATATTATTAAAATAGATTGAATGTAACTCTACACCCTTGCCTCATTTAGTATACGTGGTTCTTGAGCCCCGCCTCCACTCACTCAGCTCAGAGATCCACTCGTTGACGATTACACGTTGATCTGATTGGTTACAAGGTAGTTTGTGACGTCAGAAACACCAGCGATTTCAAACCGTGTTTTTGGTTCACTGCAGTTTTAAGGAGAAAATACTCAGCAATGGTGTTGTTGACTCATGAATCTGCACATAGTTTGTCTTAAAGCATTTTAAACACACCCCATAGACATAAACAACATTAAATACACACTTAATTTTCAGCGCAGGGGGACTTTAAAAAAAGTTTTGTTTTGTTTCTTTTCATGCATGTGAACCCTTGAATTCAATATTCATCTGTATGTAGATGATTTTTTTTTTGTTTCATAGTAAATTGTAATAGTAAATTTGTTTAATAAAAGCATGTTTTCATACTTTTTTCGTTTTAGTTATTTAGTACTTAAACTTAAAATAAGCACAAAAAAAAGAAGAGAAATACTGAAATAAAATACAATCATGTTTCTTATAAATTTGATTTCAGTTAATGTTTATTTTATTTATGATAATAACCCTGACTCATAACATCAACATAAGGCATATTCAGTTAAAACATTTTCAAAAAAAGAAAAACAAATATCTCAAAAATATCTAATAATATTATAAAACATGTTTCACTTGTTTAAAAATGAAGACTATACATCAGAAGAGCATCTTTCTTAGACATTTCAAGAAGAAAGTAAAAACAATATGAAGTAGAAAACTATAAAATCTCTATGGGGGGAAAGCATAGCTCTATTGCACAACACATGCTTTGGCGCTGTGCTGTTCTGAGCTCAGCTGTGCCTCACATATGGCGGTCACCCACGCCTGCTGCTCCTCTGCTTCTGCGGGACGCAGCTTGAAGGTGCGTTTGCTGTCCTTTGGTGTGATTGTCCAGCCTAATGGCCCATCACAACCATCCAGCATCTTCACCCTTGCTCCAACCAGATTAATGGCCTTTTCTGCGGACTAGACAAAGATTACATAGGACAGGAGCAGTTCAACGTGAACCGTTGGTTGATGGGAAAAGAAAAACATTTTTTTTTTTCTCTGTGTGCCAGTGTTAAAGTGATATCCCACCCAAAAATCATCACTTATTCACCCTTAAGTTGTTCCAAACCTTTATGAGTTTGATTCTCCTGCTGAACATACAGTATTTCGAAGAACAGTTCAAACTGTTGTTGGGCCCGATTGACTTTGACTTTTTTTTCCCTACTATTGCAGTCAATGGGGACCATTCAATTGTTTGATTATAAACATTCTTCAAAATATCTTGTTTTGTGTTCAGCGGAAGAAAGAAACTCATGCAGGCTTGGAACAACTTGAAGGGTGAGTAAGTGATGACAACATTTTCATTTTTGGGTGAACTGTCCCTTTAAGGCCCATTCACAACAATGACTATAACCAGAGACTATTTATATATATATTAATGAAAGGACTTTGCTATAACTATACTGGCAAAAAGAAACAATATGGTTGGAATCACTTTAACAACAATTTATTTATTTTTTTTGAGCTGATGAATGATACAAACATTGACAGTCATTTATAATCTATCTTGCTTTAAAGTGGTAGTTCACCCAAAAATGAATCACCCTCATGTCGATCCAAATACTTAAGACTTTCATTCATCTTTGAAACACAAATAAAGATCTTAAAGGGATAGTTCACTTTGAAATTATTTTTTGGTATGTATTAGCTTACCTCAAGGGCATCCAAGATGTAGATGTCTTTGTTTCCACAGTATTTTCAATTTTGATATTTTTAGGTCAAACCGTTCTTGTCTGTCAGTCATATAATGGAAGTCTATGGTCACCACCTCAAAGAGCATGCACAGAGAAGTCCAAATCAAACATGATTTAATGACTCGTAAATGTAAGTACACATTGATGGCCTAAGACACGAAACGAGTGGTTTGTGTGAGAAAACGAACAGTATTTATATCGTTTTTACGTCTTGTGACCACAGCCATGTCCAAGTGATCTGAGGGCGCGGGCGTTTTGTGGCTGTATAAACTATATAAATACTGTTCGTTTTATCACACAAACCTCTCATTTCGTGTCTTAGGTCATCGATGTGTACTTACATTACGAGTCACTAAAAATATCCAAATACCACTGTGGAAACAAAGACACCTACATCTTGGATGCCCTTGAGGTAAGATAAACATACATACCAAAAATTAATTTCAAAGTGAACTATCCCTTTAATAATGAAATCTGAGAGCTTTCTGTCCCTCCAACAGAGCATCACAGTCCCGCCCACAGCCGGTTCGGGAAGTAAGAATTCAATACAATTTCTCCATTGACATTTGGGATATAAGCAGGGGTGTAAAGTAACGAATTACAAATACTCACGTTACTGTAATTAAGTAGTTTTTTTCAGAAATTGTACTTTTTTGAGTAAGTTTAAAATTGTGTAATTTTACTTTTACTTGAGTACATTTTAAGTGATGTATCGGTACTTTTTCTCCGCTATTTTCCTTCTGTTTGTGGCCGTTACTCGTTACATGCTTTTTTTAATTTTATTTTTATCCATCAACGTGATTGGATCGAGTAATCGGTCTCGTGACTGTCATCAATTCAAATTAAGCATAGAAAACTTACCGCCTATTCCTGCTGTTACTCGTGACTGCGGTGGAAGTGCATTCATCACGCATCAATTCAATCCAGATATCAGCGTCCTCTAATATGCTAAGGTACATTTCACATTTCTGCTTAATATGATATTTATATTTGCTGGCCTGTCTACATGGCCTAACATTTGGTCTGAGGTTGGGGGAATTGCGAGACGAGTTCATAATGCGGTGAATTCCCGCTCCCATTTACTTCACAATCACAGGAGAGATGCGCGTCACGATCTGTGCACTGCCGCATCTCGCGCTCGCCATGCCGCCAGATTCAGAATCAGTGCACCATGTCGTTAACTTGAAATGCATTACTTAATAAGAAATTAGCACAGCTCGTTAATAAACAGCGTTTTTTGATTGATCCATTATGCGATCCGTCTTCATTTGGCAAGTGCACTTGCGCAAAAACATTTTCCATGCTGAACTTTTTTTTGTGTGGATGCTGCTGATAAAACGGCTTCGCCGAGACTTCAGACTGAGACAAATTGTGTTTGTTTCTTTTGTAAAAGTTTCCTGGATATAACTTCCCTATTTAATGCACAATTGTCCTTTCAAATTATATCAGCATTACAATGTGAGTAAATGTAGCCGTGTAAAATGTAAGGGATGATGCCACCCTTCTAGAACAATGCATTTACGTTTAAATTGTAACATATTTAATAGCATGTAATTAAAGTGTGTAATTAGTGTTAGCTCACTATCTTAGCCTTTTTCAGTGCATTAGTTGAGGTAGTATGATAATATTAGTGATTCTCATTTCTAACATTGGTACCGTTTTGGAGAGAAATTGGGTATTTTTTTTATTTTATTCAACCCATCTCTTGGTGTGTGATGCTGAACTATCATATGAATTTGTTCACAGTTATGAATATTGATATTTTATGTGCAACAATAACATGCTCAGGCCCAGTGGCTTTTCGCCTAATTTTAAATGCTTTTCCCCCAAATAATATGATTTAAATGGTGATGAGTGTACTGATTTGATGCATTTTAAAAAGATGGATGATAGATATTCTTCAATCTTTCTTACAAAGAACAAAGTATAATGTGAATTCCAGTATGCATTTTTAAACTTATAAATTGTAGTGCACAGTGTTTATTATAAGGGTTAGAATCCGCACCTCAGTACTCACTACTCACTACTCTTGAGTACTTTTAAATAAGCTACTTTTTTACTTTTACTCAAGTAGTTTTTTGGACAAGTATTTTTACTCTACTCACACTACATTTTTTGGAATGTAATGGTACTTTTACTTGAGTATGTTTTTTCAGTACTCTTTCCACCACTGGATATAAGCCATTTAAACGTAACCATACATGGTACCAGCTACAGCTGTCCTAAGCGATTGTATATGCTCATATAAATGCCAAACGTTAATGGGGCACTAACCTTGTTTTAAGATAACTGCCTTTAATTCGCGATGTCTTGGATAAGTAGCCTACTTCATTACCCACAATCCCGAACAATCCCATAGTAATGCATCTGATTGGTGGAAGACGTGTAACTGTCTGGTTAAACCCAGAGCTGTTAAATTTTTCAACGTCTGTGGTTAAACCCCGCGAAGGTCCTTGAAGACTCGTGATCCTGTAATGACGTAGGGCTAAGTTCATTAGTCGCACCTCAGAGACGCCCCCTCATCATTGGATGTTGCCCCGGCACAGCCTATGAGCGAGCCAGATGCTCAATGTTTTAGCTGTGCAGCTGCAAATGCGTTTTACATATAAGCTTTAGTAAATCGAGGAAAATTAGTTTAGTTTCCCTACACATTCACAATATAAAATTCACTGGAGGAAAAGGTTCACATGGCCGTCGACAGATTTGGAAGTCACTCAAAAGGCTCTTTCACGGTGGCTTCAGTCAATTTCAGTGAGGCGCGTTGGTTT